TAATGAGATTGAATAAATCTCACCCTGGCATTTGGTCTCATGATTTCATCTAGCAAGTTGTGAGATAACATTGACTGGGGGCTGTGAAACAGAAGAATTTTAAAAGAGTCCCAAAAGATGAGCAACAAATTACAGCTGGCTTCTGTATCACCTAAGCCATTCCAGTTGAAATTCGTGACCTACTTTGTCTTACATTCTGTTGCCATAGTGCCTGGGTTAAATGTGTAATGAAAGAAAATTGATTTCCAGTGTAAATCTTAATTTTTATTGTGCCCTGCAGTGCTGCATGAATGATGCATGTGTGATAAGCCTCACATTAGAAGATTCTTGGGGGAGTTTTGAGATTTAAAGTATTATGGCCTCTATCAGTGGTTATTAAAATAATACATTTTCTGTAGATGTGTATCATTTTCTTAAAGAAGTTAGTGACTTTATGAATATCCTTAGGCACAAAGGGAACAGATTTTTCTGACTGCTTCAGAAGCAATCCCCCATTTACGCTGGTCACATAAGTGTTTCCTAAAAAGGAAAACAATATCTATCTTGAAAAGTATAAGGTTCAAGCTCAAAGACAAATGCTTGTTCCCCAAGTGTTTTAATGCCTCATTGAGTTTAAAAATCAATTCCATAGTAAAGTACACTTTTAAAATTCTTGAAACCTTATCTTCATTAAAAAAAAAAAATCGCAGCTGGCAAACATCTCCTGTCAACAGTAGCATATGTGTGTAGGGGAATGGGTGGTTGGGGGAGGAGGTCTAACCAACAATAAGGGCCAACTTCCAGCATTCTCTCCAAAAGAACACAGTTTCTTCTGAAATGATAAGACTTTATATTTTTAAATTACACTTTACATTTTTTAAATATTATTTGCATTTAAGTCTGTTTCCTTAAACTGGGGAATTTATGGGGCAGATTAAACCCCAAATCTGCTGTGTTTGGCCTACACAAAATTTGCTGTTGATTCTAGTTTTCTTTCTGTTTAATCTCTCTATTTCAGTTTGAGTGTTTTTGGAAAGGTCAGCTTTCCAGTTGTATTGACCCTACCACTATCTCATGTCCTATGCCTGGCACAATTCACTCCCTGAAGTTATTTACTTGAATCTTATAGACATTTTGATCTTGTTACCTTTGCCTTAAATCTTTTGGGTGGAGTGATACATAAATTAACAAATTATGCTGAGTACAGTTATTCATCTAGATGTTCATTTACATGTAGAAGTTGTTTATATTTTTTATTTTAATAGATTCCAGATCTGTTTTGCTTTCATTTTTTGAAAGAGTATTTTAGCTTTATTATAGGTAATGGGGGTTTCTTTCAAGTCTAGAGAGAGAAATAAGGAAGCCTGAAAGCCCTTTGAGCATCTCTCTAATTTTCCCTTTTCTAATTTATGGTTGCTGGGGAGTTATGATTTATGCTTTCCACCTCTTCTCAGTTTGCTTCCCTTGTTCTGTATATATCTATTAACTGTTTCTTTTTTCTGGGGTTTCATTTTCAAACTCCCCGAGACAGAGATTCAGGTATGGAGAGCCCAGGCCTGCTCACCAAGGTTTGCCTATTATCCTATCTGTCCAAAAATACACTAGGGAGAGCTGCAATGTGACAGGACTATGCCTGATAATTAATGCATAAGAAACTGCTTTTGGCTGCTTGCTCAATATAGGGCTTTTGTGAGCAGGCATGCAGAATCAGAGATTCCACTGCATGGAGGAGACCAGAATTCATTTGTGGTTAAGAGCATGCATCCTGGAATCATATTGCTTGGGTTCATAACTTGACTCCACCATTTACTGGCTGTGGAATCTAAATGAGTTATTTCACTAATCTGAGTCTCAGTTTCTTCATCTGACAAATGGGGATTGCAAAAACATATACCTCCTAGGGTTGCTGTAGGGATGACTCAGACAATATGTGTGAAGGACAAAGCACAGAGGTGGACATATAACAAAGACTCAATTCATGTTGGTTATCATAATCAAAATAATCATGATTATTATTTGGATACTTTCACAGGTTTTGGACAGCACTTTTCATGTAGTAGCTTCTCAATAAATATTTGCTGAATGAGTACATGAACTAATGAATTAATCAAATATCAGTGGCTGAAATATGTAGTCTGGCTGAGTAAATCATTTTACAGGCGATACTTTAAAACATTATACTTAGGGACTAATATAAGTGTTCCATCTCTTTTACAATTATTCCCGTCATGAGATTTGCATTTCAAGTAGGCTTTAAAACAGAGGAGTTTTTTTTTCTTTTTTTTTTTTTTCCCTCCCCACAGTAGCCCTGGATGATCCATTTGTTATTCTGTGAAGGTCCTAGTGAAAAGCTAGCAGCGGCTTTCTATATTGGCTAGGCAACTTGCAGTGTCTGACACAGAAAAATATGTTAATTTTTAGCATGCTAGATTTTCTTTCACAAAGTCATCAGTAATCTCTTACCATATACCTGACAGCAATAAATATCATTGCTTGGGTTTTTCCCCCAATCTGGAAAGAACAAAGTGATATAATAGAAATGTTAAGCCTGAAATTCATAGATTAGACTCAGACTGGTATGGAATCAAGTACATTTGATTCCTTTAGAGTTAAGCTGTGTTGAAATGGGCAAAATATATTGTAGATCTTTGCTTGGGTAGAATTTATTACCCACTTCTCTTTCTGTTTCTTAGCACATTGTGTACCCTGCTTGTCCAGTGTGCCACAGCTATATATGCCACATACAAGTGATCCTTAGGTCTTGCTGCTTGCTTTTCAAAGGGAACTAGGTAGCTCTGGTGCAAGAAAACACTGCTTCAGTACTCCAAGCGTGCTACCTTCATAACTGTAATTGTTGCCATTACCAAAAATGTTGTATCATAAGTATTATTCCCTATCATATTTCTCTAATTTACCCCCATGAAAGTAATTTAAAACTCCTATTTTAGATTATCTTCTGTTATCTGTAGTTATCTGTAGCTTTAAAAAATGTATTAATTTTTTTCTACTAGTTCTTTTATTATATCAATTGTAACATTTATATCCACTCAACATTTCAAACTTTTATCTTTCCTATTTTAGTTGTTAAAATATTTTTCTCAGGCATAATTCTTTTAAATCTCATCATTATTGTTTCTCCTTTTCTTCTTTTAAAAGAAAGATGATTGTTGTCTCTTTGGATCTTTTAGTTTTCTGAGTTTTTTTTTTTTTTTTTTTTTGATGGAGTCTTGCTCTGTTGCCAGGCTGGAGTTGGAGTGTAGCGGCGCACTCTTGGCTCACTGCAACCTCCGTCTCCTGGGTTCAAGTACTTCTCCTGCCTCAGCCTCCTGAGTACCTGGGGACTACAGGTGTGCACCACCATGACAGGCTAATTTTCGTATTTTTAGTAGAGATGAGGTTTCACCATGTTGGCCAGGATGGTCTCGATCTCTTGACCTTGTGATCCATCCACCTTGGTCGCCCAAAGTTCTGGAATTACAGGCATGAGCCACTGTGCCCAGCCTCTGATTTTTATCTTTTATCTTCTTTTTATATCCTTTGTTTGTTTATAAATAGGCAGAAGAAAATCTAGTTATAGAGACAGATCCAAAAAGTTTTATTTATGAATTGGTCACAGATGGAGAAGGAAAAAAATAATTAGTGTTGAAACCCACCATTTTAACCAGAGCAAATGGGTTTAAAAGAATGCAACTGAGATAGGAAAAACTGGGGGAGGAGTATGTTGTAAGAGAAAAATAATACTTTCTTTTTCTATCACTACCATGTAATAAAAAGCATTTTTAACATCAAAAAAGACATAAACCCAGATATTTTTAAATGAATACCTTTGATTTTCTGAAAAATTCAATAGATGGTCTGTTTTCTTTTTCATTTTGTGGTGAATTAATGAAAACTTCTGGCATTAAGGAATACTTGCAGTAGATAATGGAAGGATTTATATTTCAGGAAAACTCACTCTGGTACCTGTATAGAGAATAGATTGGAAAATATTGAAGACAAAACTCAATTAGGACTAGTAATAGGAAGCTGTGGAGGTAGATTACAATTTGAATACTGTGAGGAAGAAAGGTATCTACAAAACTGTTGATAAGGAGGCTGGAGGTTGAGGAAGTTGTGCCTAATGCACTGGCGTGTTCTCAGTAATGAAAAGCAGCATTTGCTGGGAGTGATGTGGTGGAAATTTTTTTTTTTTTTTGAAGAAAAGATAATGTGTTGAGTTAAAAATGGAATCCAGCTGTTTTAATAGGCATACTTAAATCTTTCTGAGCTTCAGAGAAGGAGTCCTGCCTAGCCAACTTGTTCTTAGTAATATGTTTTATTTAGCATGGCTTTGGAAGCCACAAAACTCTATATGTTTATTTGAAATAAAATAGTAAGTAACTTGTAAGTGTATTAGACATATATTAAATATTACCTTCATCAATAAGATCATGAGTTTCTTAAAAACAAGAGTCCCATTTTCTTCCTACAGAGGTGGCCTACTGTTAAGTGAAAAGAGCCCACGCCTTGGAGAGCCACACCGCAGATCTACCACCCTCAGGCTCTTCATCTGCAGTGGCGGTAATGACGCGCACGTCATAAGATTCTTCAAGATATTTGGTGAAATAAAGGATGTGTAAAGGAGAAGGGATTTTACATGAGTTAGCTATACCTTTCTCTTCTTTCTCCTTCAATGCACTCAGTCCAGGGTACGTACAGAGGGCACTAATGGCGTGGGGCCAGAAGAGCTTTTAATTTTGGAATTCTGAAGAACTGAGAACTCATGACTCTGTCATCAGCTCTGAAGTGGAATATAAATAAAGTTTTGTCACTTTTTTTAAAGCACCCACTAAACTACAAATCCCTTCTCTCTCCTCGAGGTGGACGGGTCACGTGGCTTTCCAGGAATCCGGAAGTCTGGTCCGCTCGCCCAATCACGCCCGGAAGCCTAGCTAGCGGCGCCAGGTTGGCCATTCCTGGGGAAGCTTGCTCTCCGCCAAGCCGGGTCCCGCCTCCGCGCGCCGCGCTGACGGGTCGTTAGCGGATACGGCGGCCGCAGGGGCGGAGTCAGGGGCTTTTGCCCGCCTTGGCAGCCGGCTGTACCTTCCAAGTTCTCGCCTCCTGCTCCGTCATGGCTCCCAAAGGCAGCTCCAAACAGCAGTCCGAGGAGGACCTGCTCCTGCAGGATTTCAGCCGCAATCTCTCGGCCAAGTCCTCCGCGCTCTTCTTCGGGAACGCGTTCATCGTGTCCGCCATCCCCATCTGTGAGTGCTGGGAGCGAGGCTGGTTTGGGAGGCCGCGGGCGGGTCGGGCGGGTCGGGCTGGGCGGGGACGTGGCAGGACCCAGCGAGCAGGCCAGGCGCGGGTGCTGGCCAGGGGTCGGCGATCTCTCCAGCTCCCCTGAGCTCGGGGAGGCACAGAGCCTCTTCTTTGGGCACGGCGTTGTCGCCTGGGATTGTCCTGTTAAAGCACTCCGGGAGGTCACTTGTTAAAAGTACGCACGTTCCCGAGCTCCACCCCCGGAGAAGGTGGTTAACTAGTTCTGGGGTGGCGGCCCCGAATCTGTATTTAAACACACTCAAGCATACTGCCTGCTGCTCTTTTCCATACAACTGTTGCTTGCCGTTACGAAATTTTAAACTTATGTTATTACTTATTTTGGATAAATTAGTTAGGTGAGAGACCCATGAAGTAACCCACTGAATTAGAAGTGCATCTGTACGTGAGCTACTTTACACCACTGCATAATTTTCCTGGTTTTTGCAGAAAGAGAGAAATTGAAGTGCCAGGGGTTGGGGATCTACCTTGTTTAGACTTTTTAAATAATCCCACTGTACCAATTCTAGAATTCTCACTGGGCTGGGAAAGTGCAGACTTGCACAAGGTTGTTTCTAGTAGAGCTCAAGGTTCCAGAACTCTTGTCTTTTGCTGCACTGTTGTTGGGGCATTTAAAACCAAATGTATTTTTCTCTTTTGTCCTTATACAACCCAGCGTGCAATTAACGTGATGTGAAGCCATATTATGGCTCACTCATTTGACAGAGCACTGCTTGGAGTTCTGATAACAGCCACGTCAGCAAGGAAACTATGGTTTGGGACTGCACGTGGCATTTTGGAATGGCCTGTATTTAGCATGCTAGTACCTTGATGAATGAAATTTGAAGTCTGACTTGTGATTACATTGAGCCAGAGTTTGTTCTCATTTTAGAAGCAGAAATCTCATCTGAACTAGTAATAGGAAGGTGATATTTTTCAAATGTTCTGAACTGGAAGGCTTGAGACTATACTGTTAACTGGTTATCTCACTTCTGAAGATCCTCAGATACTGTATTGATTGCATAACTAATAACCTGGTATTTTACCAGGCTTAGCTTTAAATAATTTCGCAGGCTTTTGTTATGGGGTTGTAATATTTTGTTTCTTTTTGTACTTTCCCCCTATTATTTTAATTCAGGGTTATACTGGAGAATATGGCATATGGATCTTATTCAGTCTGCTGTTTTGTATAGTGTGATGACCCTAGTAAGCACATATTTGGTAGCCTTTGCATACAAGAATGTGAAATTTGTTCTCAAGCACAAGTAAGTATGTTTTTCAAGTGAAAGTACGTACTACGTGTTGTATTTTTATATGTCTTCTTACAGATCGTTTGTGTGTGTTGGTTTTAATAAGCATTAATTTGAGATATCTATGTATTAATATATGTATTTTGGGGGAAAGGAACATTGATGCTAGGAAGAATTATTAACTAACTGAAGTGGAGATAATCATTCTGACATGGCTATAGAAGATTTTGAGGGTGGAATTAGAACACTTAAGCCCAAGCCTTAATAGGAGGTTCATAGGAGAAACAAACCCACCAAGTAAATTAACATTTCAAAAGCTAAATGTAATTCTTTATGGAGAGAATTGTTCTGGGCTCTTCACATATTGTTTTTGGAAGTTAAAGAAATGATCTTTTTGTCATTATTATTATTATTATTATTTTTTTCTTGAGACTGCATCTCGCTCTGTCGCCCAGGCTGGAGTGCAGTGGCCGGATCGCAGCTCACTGCAAGCTCCGCCTCCCGGGTTTACGCCATTCTCCTGCCTCAGCCTCCCGAGTAGCTGGGACTACAGCCGCCACCTCGCCCGGCTAGTTTTTGTATTTTTTAGTAGAGACGGGGTTTCACCATGTTAGCCAAGGATGGTCTCGATCTCCTGACCTAGTGATTCCCCCGTCTCAGCCTCCCAAAGTGCTGCATTATTATTTTTTGAGCCAAGGTCTAGCTCTGTTGCCCAGGCTGCAGTACAGTGGCATGATCATGGCTCACTGCATCCTCAACCTTCCCAGGCTCAAGCGATCCTCCCACCTCAGCCTCCCAAGTAGCTGGGACTACAGGTGCAGGCTACCATGCCCAGCTAATTTTTTTGTCGAGACAGACCACGTTGACCAGGCTGGTCTTTTTGTTTTATTACTTTTTTAAAAAATTAAACTCTCTGTCATTTTCAATGCTAATTACATTTGTTTTCATACAAGTGTATAACATGTAAAGGATTAACATATTCTAAGATCACACATGTTGTAAAATACAGCTTTTAGAGAAGAAAACTCAAGCCTCACCACCGTAAATTGAAACATTAATTATAAGCAATTAAATATTCTAGTTTCATAGAGGTTAAAATGCAGGAGCATCTAGACTTAGGAAAGATGGGAACATTTATTATTTCTCAGTGTCATGGTCCTCATTGTCTCATTGGAAGTGGTATAAATTATTGTTTAATTGACGCCCTTTGATGTTGCTTTCACGTACACTGTGATACTTGGGTAGGGATAGCAGGATTATTTCCCTCCTTCCTTCATGGGGCCATCTAGGTGCCATATTGCTTTGGAAGTAATTTCTTAAAGGCAATTGGAATTTCACTGAGACTTGAAGTGTGGACATACTTTGTATGTGCATTATCTTTTCATCCATAGTTCTCACTCTAGTTTGGACACTGTTTATACTCATATTGCTGTAACAGCCTCCATCTGGTCTTTTAAAACAAGTTTAGGGCCCACCCTGCCATGCACTATATAAAGCACATTACCCTATGTAATCCTTATAGCATCCATATGAAGTGCAGGTATTTCCCTTGTTTTATTGAATGAAGAGTATGTATTTCTCCTTATGTGACATCATTTTTATCATGTCATTCTGATAACTCATCATGGCTTTTTTTTTTTTGAGACAAGAGTCTCACTCTGTTGCCCAGGCTGGAGTGCAGTGGCCCAATCTTGGCTTACTGCAACCTCTGCCTCCTGGGATCAAGCGATCCTCTCACATCAACCTCCCAAATAGCTGGGACTACAGGCACGCACAACTACCACGCCTGGCTAATTTTTGTATGTTTTGTAGAGATGGAGTTTTACCATGTTGCCCAGGCTGGTCTTGAACTTCTGAGGGCTCAAGTGATCCATCTGCCTCGGTCTCCCAAAGTGCTAGGATTACAGGTGTGAGCTGCCACGTCCAGCCATGGCCTCTTTTTTTAAAAATGTATTAAAGCCAAATTCTTCTAGACCTCTGGAATGCAAGTCATCTGCTTCCTTCCTATGAGTCTGGCCTCATCTTTCAGAATTAGGCTTTAACTCTTCTGCCTCGCCCTCACATCATCCTTTGACCATGTCTTGTGCCCTCCCCCATTTAGGATTAACTTACTTCCTTTCCATTCTTACCTGTGTTTTATTTTGAGACCTAGGAATCTTTTCCAGAGAACCCCTTCCTGACTTTGATCATTCCTTTGCTTTGTTGTCCCTGTGTTAGACTGTTTCAGAGAATGAGGAATAGAAACATGTTGAGATGATCTCAGTTAACAGGGATTTATTTTAAGAAATGGCCCAGAATGGCCTCAGCGGCTGAAGTGGCCTTCGCAGTTTCCTCCCTATTGTTCTGGACACAAAGGAGCTCAGGTTTCGGGGCAGCCGTTCTGATGGACCAGCAGAGAAATTGGGTTATCTTTATTATCTTTCTGCTTGGCAGCCCCTCAACCAACTGCCATTCCAGGATTCAGCTCATGTGGGCCTCCACTGTATGAGACTGTTTCTTGTGAGGCGTGGCCATTTGTGCATCGGGAAGCCCTCGCAAGTGGGCATCTTGTATGACCCATTCTTTGTAATACTCTTGGAACTCAGTCCCTTTGAGACTTACATTTTTTACTTGTTCTTCATATCATTTTTCATTCATCTCTTTAGAATCAAAGTCATGTTCTTTTTACCTTCTCATTTCTACTTTAGGCTTCTTGAAGACACCCGCCATGTCTTATTTTATACCCCTTAAAACAGTTAATGGTACATTTAGTTCAGTAAAATTTCACTGACTTACTGACTTAATAGACTCAGAGTAGAGGTTTTTTTTTAGTCATAGTTTTGGCTTTATATTAAATATGCTACTGACTTTGAAACTCCTACAGATTTGCAAGATGGTTAAGGTTCAAAGATCCCACAAGATGCTGATTGTGGGTAGATGTTGGCTGTAGAAAGAAGATGGCTTCAGAGTCGCCAGTCTGGGTTCCAGTGCCAGCTCTGCCACTCTTAAATGTATGGCCATGGGCATAGTTTTCCCTATGTAGACTTCAGATTCCTCAGCTATAAATTGGGGATGCTAATGGAATCTCAGAGGGTGGTGAGGATTCATTATGATCATACATGTGACATGTTAAGCGTAGAGTCTGGCACATAATAAATGTTTATGTGCAGGGTTGAAGAGGTTGGGACTAAGAGAGCCCTTAGAAGTTGTTTTTGTTTTTTAAGGTGGCATAATTTAAACGATGTTTGCAAAGATGTTTTTATTTTAAGAAATCAGATAGTGTCTTTTTTTATCTTTAATTTTGGAAGTGTTCTGACATACTGATGTGAAAGAATAAAGGAAGAAAAATACAATTGATTTTATGGGTTATCTCAGTTGACTAAGTGCTAGGTCACTAGCGTGACTTTTGTTTTAGAGTATTCAGCACCGAGTGAGGTTTATTTTCTGAGAGCTCTAAGACAGAGGGGAGGGCTTCCTCTTAAGTTGCAGTAAACCTGCAGTGTGGTTGTTATGCCCCTGGTAGGTGAGGATAAAATTCTAGACTTAGAAGATAAATTGCTTAGTTATCTGGTGTAATGTCTTCATGAGGATTTGTCATGTGGATAATCGGTTGACTGTTTGCCCTAAAGACACATAGTGATAACCAACTCTTTTGAAAATGCAGTAGTTTATTCCTGTGTCCTAACACCTTGATAGTTGGGGTGTGTGTGTATATTTTTTATGTTAAGCTAAGAAAGATTTCTGCAGTAAACTGTCCATTTCTTTTCCGTTGGTCTTTTGTAGAAAAAAAAAAAAGTAGTCTGATGTTAAGTTCAGGAAACACATTTATTTATTTTTAATTTTTCTTATTTTTCCTGTTCTCATAATCTGTTCTCATGAAGAAACATATTTAGTGCCTGGTCTGCTAAAGAGGTTCAGAGAGAAGAATCTGCCTTTGGAGCTGAGTGTCTCAGAAATGCAAGAAGCATATGAAAAGATAGTTTTTACATAATGAATCAAAGGAATTTGGATCTTTGGAGTAAAAAGTTCATTTTAGTGTCCTAAAGTGTCTCGTAAAAAGACAGCTGTCTGCCCCCTTAGCAGCCTTTTTCTTTAGGTTTCAGAATTGATTTCCTCTTATTGTGTGATTTTTTTTGTTTGTTTTTTTTAAAGAACTGTTTTTTCCTCTTTCCAGTTACCAATTTGTGTGGGGTAACGAGGTTTAAAAAGTAACTTTGTAAACCTTTTAAAAAATACATTATTTGAAACTGACTAAACGTTTTCTTTTTATTAATAACAATGTCAATTCTAACTCAGTTCTTGAGTGAGAGAGCTAAAGATGGAGACATAGGTAAAATCAGTTGTAATTTGTGCTTCACTTGTATCCCAGACACCCTTGTAGTTGAAGAAGGGTTGAAAACTCCTGCCTTGAGTGACCTGGGGCTTTCTGTCCATCACACCTAGCTTAAATCGTCCTTTGGAGTAAAGTTAGAAGAATAATTACTTTAAGATATTACAGCTGTTATTTCCTCTTTGTTTAAGCCTAGTTTTCATTCCTGTTATGTACTTGGAATTGAAATAATACATCATATACTAATGCCTTATGAAATTTATTTGTTGAACAGTTAGATGACAGATTAAAACAAAATGTAATTAAAATGATTCTTAACTAAATTGTGTTAATAGCATTTGACTTTATTAACCACATTGATTCCTAAACTTTGGAAAATTCTTCTTTTTAAGCAGAAATCAAAACATGTCACTAATAAATTAACCACATCTTGGACATTTCTTGAACTTTTGGCTAGTGCAGTGTAATAAACTTGGACTTTCTGCTCAGCTTCTTTTCTTGAATTGTGAAATATCATTCTGTTGCCAATACGAAATATGAGTACAGAGTGTTTCTGAGAGAGTGTGATGTTCACCTCTGTAGCATATGGAAACTTTTTCTTTTTTTCTTCCAGAGTAGCACAGAAGAGGGAGGATGCTGTTTCCAAAGAAGTGACTCGAAAACTTTCTGAAGCTGATAATAGAAAGATGTCTCGGAAGGAGAAAGATGAAAGGTTTGACTCCTATTTAAAGTATGGTCGTCATAAAAGGGGATACTTTTTGAATAAAATTTTTTTTTATTTTTGCTTAAAGAATGTGGATTTTGGAATTGTCTGAGGTAAATTTTGGAATTGTAGTAGTAGTAGTAATGGAAATAGTAATAGCTGATGTTTAGAGTTTTTATTACAACCGGATACTTTTATCTGTGCTATACAATAGTTGATTTATTCCAGTAAAGAGCCCTGTGAAGTAGGTACTATTTTTATCTCCTTTTTGTACCTGAGGCAACAAAGGTACAGAAAGCCTGGGTAACTTGCCCAAGGTCCTGAATTAGTACATGGTAGATCCATGATAAGAACACAGGCAGTCTGACTTGAGAGCTTGTACTTGTAACTGTCTGCTGGAATTGAGGAGGCAACAGAGCTTTGTACAGAGCAGGCTTTGCCTGTTAATAGGTGTGCAACCTTGAACATATCGCCTAACCCCTCTGGGTCTGAAGGGTTTATGTGTTAACATGTCTATGTGGTGGTATTTCTGTTCCTGAGCTTTCCGAGGGATATCCAGTAATTAGTTATCTGTATTGGTTGGGAAAAAGAAAATAACTGGACTTTTCTCCTTTTGCCTCATTCTATGCCACATTTATTAGCCCCTAGTCCCGATTTTTTCTGCCAGCTGCTCTTAGAAGGCTTATTGGGCAATCTTAACATCTGAGTAGCAGAAGTCCCTGAGTCAACTTGTGCTGAAGAATTGCCACAGTTTAATTGTTGTGAGTCTGCTGTTTTCATGGATCTTTAGCTTTAGTATCAAGAAGGGGCTTTGTTGGAACGTACTTTTTACCTCACTTTGCTCCAGAAAGACTTTGTGTGAACTTGCAGTGTTAGTGTATATAATATATTTTCTGCATTTAATACGGTTTTCTTAAAGTGCATGCATATAAAACAAGTAACGCAACTTTAAAGAACAGAAACCATTTAAAAGGAAGAAAAGGTGGATGAGCAAGTACCTTAGAGTTAGTTACAGCAACTGAGCACTGAACTTAGTTGTGGGTTTCCAAGTGTCAGGGGAAGCATCTGAGGTCACATAGCTTTCATTGTCTGACGAGAAGCAGCATGCAAGTCCTTCTGAAAAGAAACTTTCCTGGCACTGGATCTTGGAAAGACTTTATCAAGTGGATCCTTATTTAAGGGACACTGAGTAACTTAATGAACAATGTCTTCTATAGTGGTTTTGGAAAGGTACCAAAACATTATTAAAATGATTATCTCTTATGGCTCCTTTATAAAACTGAAGGCACAGTATTACGACAATGGAGGCCTTTCTGCATGGAGCAGCTTTAATGAGGTCGGACTGCATAGTGTTCCAGTTGCATATTTTTTGCATAGGGTTCAAGGTTAGGGAATCTAGATCACTGTTTTAGAAAAAACCTTCTGTTGGATTTTTCATTACAATGGTGTTTCTTAAACTAGGGTATGCATAGTTACCTAAATTTCAAAATGTTTGTTACAGGTTTTAAAGGTTTTTGGTGATTAATTATGTCAGGGATAGTAAATGGGTTTCCTCTGCCGACTGCAGTCTTGGACAGATTTGGTCTGGCACTTGTTCTTGAGCCTGGGTCATGTCTCGGAATCTTTTTCAGTTTAGTGTTCAGGTAGTGACTACTAGTGAATCAGTTGAAATTGGGAATGAAACCTTTGCCATTTGCCGGATTAGGTATTTCAAAGTGGGGTGAGGTGGAGGTTTCATGGATATATATAAGTGCAGAGTATCAGAACATCATATAATTTCTCTTTTCATTGGTAGAAATTTGGCTGTAAAAGCCATACTGGATACAGTTTGTACTGTATTGATTACCCTTGATAACTGGGACCAGAGCCTCTCATTAAGATCTAGTTTGTTTCCCTTTGAAAGAATTCCAGGAGATTTGATGTAAGGAGAAGGCTTATCAGCATTTCTTTGCTTAGATGTGTATTTCTCAAAGCTCTGTCTGCATTCATTTGGAATATATACTCCATGCCGCTTAAAAGTACTTCAAAATATTCATTTATCCAAGGATGGAAATAAGCAGAGGAGAACGTGAGATTCATTAACATTCATTCCAGAGTGCGAGTGTGGTTTCTTCTTGATTTATGGGTGATCTGTCATTTCACATTATTTGATTGTAACTGTTGCTTGGTCTCAGCTTTTCTCTTGTAGGAAGCTCTTCCTGAAAACATCCTTAAGATATTGGGAAGTGCTCTCCCAAACCAGGTTCCCTACTAGGAAGAAAATGTCTTCTACTAGGCAGAACCGTTGGCAATTAGGGCATTTGGGGGTCCTAAATTTAAAACAGAAACAAAAAAAAAGGATATGAGTGGACTCAGAAAAAGTTCTAAAGGCTGTCAGGCTTTATACACTGATGTAACTAACATGTGGTCATATTGGGATCTAGGGAAATCTAAAGGATTGGGCCACTTCTTTCATTAAAACTTTTTTAAAAATGGTTCTTGTATTAGTCCATTTTCACAGTGCTATAAAGATACTACCTGAGTCTGGGTAATTTGTAAATAAAAGAGGTTTAATTGACTCACAGTTCTGCGTGGCTGGGGACGCCTCAAAAAACTTACAATCATGGTAGAAGGTGAAGGAGAAGCAAGTGCCTTCTACACAAGGTGGCAGGAGAGCGAGTGAGCGCAGGGGAAACTGCCATTTTTAAACCATCAGATCTTGTGACAACTCCCTCACTGTCACGAGAATGGCATGGGGGAAACCACACCCATGAACCAGTCACCTCCCACCAGGTCCCTCCCTCAACATGTGGGGATTACAGTTCAAGATGAGATTTGGGTGGGGACACAGAGCCAAATCATATCACTTATTTAGGGCTTGACAGAAAAGAAGTTAGGGAGAAGCACTGTGATGCAAGTGAGATAATTTTATCATCTAGAGTAAAGTCAGGCTGATAACCTACTTAAGCAACCTGCCTTCACTGGATCTCATGCCAGAGTCTTAAAAATGGAGGCAGTTGTCCTGAGTGTTCATTCTAGTGTGAAACCATGTTGAGACTATGCATCTTACTAGGCTGGTCTCACTGATCAGTGTTAGAATGATGTTTCCTGGAACTCCAACTCATGATTTTTAACAACTTACATTTAAACTTCTATGAAATTACAAGGTGTTTTATAGTTGATGACTATACTTAATGTAATGTCCTTCCCTTCCTCCAAACTTACAATAAATGGAAGAGTTATTAAGTTGATGGTGTCTGTAATATGGCATGTGTTGGAGACTACAGATTTCTTATGATGAGCGGAAGATGTTAATTATTAGCTTTCATTTAGCTCCTTTACAGCCAAACCTGTTGTCTTTGGATTAGTGTACATGGTGAATAAAATGTGTCAGTTACCAGTGACTTAAAGTGCTGTCCTTAGGGTTGAGGGAATGTGTCATCTGACTCCAGAGTAGGTTTATCTTTTGAGGAGACAAAGTGTCTACAATAGTGGCCTTCAACCTTTTTGATAATGACCTACAGTAAAAAATATGTATTTTACCTTTTGACCAAATAAACTCACATGTGGACACATGCACATGTTTCATAAAACAATAATTATCCTGCTCTGTGTGATGTGCTGCTGATGTTTTTCTATTCTTTCCTGTTTCATTTTTTTAAAATGCTGGTCTCAGCCCACTCAATTAATTTCTGTGGGCATTCGATCCACTTGATTGAGTTCACATCCCACTAATGGGTCACAACCTACCCTTTTAAAAACTGCTTTACAAAGTTAATTAACCAACAAGAATAAAGGCTCCGTTATTCACAGGCATCCTCTAACTTCCTTTTGCCTGTTTGAAGGCGTAAAAGAAAAGATGGATGAAATACTAGTAAATTAGTAAGATAAACTATCAGATCAAGTAAAATAGAATAAAAAGTAAAAGAATTTTACAGACATTAAAAAGTCCTCCTAATGATTAAGTGCCTTTTTTGTTTGAATTAATAAAGATGGCTAACAATAGCCTGCTTCTGTGAGACCACAGGTAGTTTTTGTCATTGGGATTGTCTTCTGAAGGTGTGATATTGAAGTCTGATATTCGTAGGCTGTAGAAAGCCTCAAGCCCAAGGCATAGCCAAGGAACCTCCACAGGCTGCCAATCATGGAGTCTGAGTTTTAGGTAAGGGCCAAGAGAAAGACATTTGACTCAGCTGCTGATGAAAACATGCCAGTTGCCATTAATGAGTCCCTTCTTCCATAACCCTAGTTGCCTGGGAAAAATGGTAACATAACCAGTATGATGTTTTCTTCACTATCATAGAGTGAAATATTTTTTTTTCAGTGTAAGAAAGGGGAGAATTCTGACTAAATTTAATATTACATTCTTATCCTAGAACACTCCAGGAAAATCTTGTTTTATGATGAACTAGAGCCATATGCTACTTAAAGTGGTTTTTTTTTTTTTTTTTTTAATCATATTTATAAGCTTGTTTGACTTGGTTCTGTCTCTCTAGAATCTTGTGGAAGAAGAATGAAGTTGCTGATTATGAAGCTACAACATTTTCCATCTTCTATAACAACACTCTGTTCCTGGTCGTGGTCATTGTTGCTTCCTTCTTCATATTGAAGAACTTCAACCCCACAGTGTATCCTTTTCAAGGTTGATTATCTTTTTTAGAAGTCTAGAAACAGTAGTTCGTTTTGGTTCTGACTTGTCTGGATATTTTAAGTGGAAAGAAAAGCTGCTCTGGGAGTCAGTCCATTAAATAGTGCCGACTTTAGGTAACTTTCTGGACATTTAAAATAACAGCTATTGGTTTAAGATTCTTTTAAGTTTATGAATTATGACTTTATGATAAAGTATTACAAAGCAGTCTATGGGAATCTGTGTCCTTGCCTACTTAAAAAAAAAGCTCCAAAGAGCCAAAGCAAACTTGTCATTTTTGATAGCTTCTGAAATAATAAGGCCCTGTATCTGCTGTTATTTTTGGGCTCAGGGGGTTGGGTGGATGGCCCATGCAGTTAAATAGGTTAATTCCAGTGTATCTTAATAGTGTTTCAAGATGCTGTTAAATTGAGCTTTTGGGCAAGAATCAGTCTTCTCTTTTTAATTTATTAAAGGTGTTATCCAGGAATGTGCAGCCAAGATTTTAACAATTGGTGATTATGATGTAATAAAATACCAGATACCCTCCAACGTGTACCTTTTGGGAATGCTGGAGTGGTTTGCTGAAAATTGTACAGTTGTGAGGCTGGGAGTAGCTTTGAACTTTTAGAACCTCCTTGCTGTTGCAAGCCAACTGCAGCAAAACACTGATTCGCAGGGAAGACTTATTTTTCCATTGCTCTTAGGGGGGAAAAGGAAAACAAATCTCTTTTCTCCCCATGTTCTTTGATCAGCTTTTTTCATGAAGGTAAATGGAATTCAGATTATTCTTTGTGATCGTGTGTTCTAGGTTTCTGTCTTAAGTGTTTTTTTTTAAATTGGAACACATTTCCTGTGAATGTTTTCCATTTCTTTTTGGTCTTCTGTCTGTCTTGCAAATTGTGTTTGCAGACAATGGGGCTGCACATCATTATGATTACACCAAGTGTCAGGAAGGAAGCAGTACGTTCCAAAGAGACGGGCTCTTTATTTTGTCGAAAAACTAATTTGGAGTTACTCATTTTTCCATAACATTAAATTTCTTACAGGAACTACATCTTGTCCATAAGTGCTTCATCAGGACTCATCGCCCTCCTGTCTACTGGCTCCAAATAGACCATGTCAGCTTCACCCCCTGGCTTTGTGTCTATGGGTGGCCTGTGGTATATGGAAAAGTCACAGGGTGGTCAGGGTGGGAGACACACAAGATGTTTTCATAGTCTAGAGCCTTTAAAAAACCCAGCAGAATGTAACTCAGTATTTGTTTATTGGCTGTTTTTGACAGATTGTTGAAATTAAATGAATTCAAAGGGAAACTCAGAGTACCAGGACGTTTATTAAAAGGAAAAAAAATGTCTTGCAATGTGCTATAATCACAAGAGGAGAAAATAACTTGTTTCCTTGATCTGTCAGAGGTCACAGTAACCTGGGCCGAGCTGTTATTATTTATTATATAACAGTAGTAGGAAGTTAATAACTGGTTCTCTGTGTTCCAAGCACAATATTGCAGCTTCTTTTGAACCATAAATATCCGAATGAATCCTCTTCCCAGGGGATTGAACAGAAGCTTAATGTTTAAAAGTGTTTGAATTTGTGATCTGAAATAACGCAAAATTAAAAACATGATTTCTCCAATTTTCCAACTTGAGGAAGAGAAACTTGTGGAAAAGTTCTGCTTTTTTTTTTTTTTTTTTTTTTTTTTTAAAGAAGAAGGGCAGCCAAGGTAGTAACCTAAAAATAGTGCCCAGGCATATGAGAGTTGTCCTACGAGGTTAAAGAACACACTGTTCGGCTGTATGGCTTTGGCCCTGAGTGGCCAGGGAGGTCAGCTTGACCCTGCCATGTTGGTTTGACTTACTAAGACATAGGAATCATTGTTTTCCTTGACCAGGGTCTCACACCCTGGAGGAATGTTAAGTAAGAGAGAGAACCTCTTTCCTGAATACTGACATGTAAAAGACCAAAGTAATTTTTCTGAACTTCTGCAATTCTGAGAACTTTCCAAGGAATTTACAGTGATTTTAGTGCTTGTCAGCATTTTTCCATGAGGACTTTCATACATTTGACTCTTTAGTTCACAGATTCCCATTGATTGTGAGTAAAATATTTCTCTCTTTAGCCCTTGGGGATCCAGCTGAGAGGAATCTCTTGCATTTTATTACCAGTGTATGTACAGATATTTTTTGTGTGTGCCATGACTTGAAAAAGTTTGGGAAGCTCTTTAGCAATATCAGCTAAAAGGCTATGAAATCACAGGTGACAGCAGTTGTCATTCAGTAATTTCCTACAAGCAGCACCCCAAAGGAAATACAGTCCTAATCTTTAGTATCCACTTCTAAATTTAATGTGAATTTCATACATGTTATTAATTGTTTTCTTTATAATTTTATAAAAATTATCCATCAGGAGTTTAACTTCCACTTCCCATGCTATTGGATGTGTTGGGCTCCATCCAACAACTTGGAAGAAAAACGGGCAGGAATACATTTGCATAATGACCCACATCATTTTCTGCAACTGAGAATTATATTTCATCATTGCTTCCAGAAGTCTGCAATTCTTTACTTTTCGTTGGTGGATTATTATCTAGCTGCCATCACTGGATAATGTGGAGTGACTAGAGAAGTCACATTCACTGCAAGGTACAGTTAGGGTAACACTTAGGAGGTTTATTATTTTTAAAAAACTTTTCTTGAACTCCTGGCCAACATGGTGAAACCCTATCTCTACGAAAAATACAAAAATTAGTGTATTTTTTGTACACTAATTTTTGTACACACCAGATGTGGTGGCAGGCGCCTGTAATCTCAGCTACTCAGAAGGCTGAGGCAGGAGAAGCTTTAACCTGGGAGGTGGAGGTTGCAGAGAGTCGAGACCCTGCCACTGTACTCCAGCCTGGGTGACAAGGGTGAGACTCCATCTCAAAAAAGAAGCAAAAAAAACCCAAAGATTTTTCTTTACTGTTGATTTAAAAAAAAAAAAGAGCCAGACCATAGTTTGACTGGTGGCATGGAATTTGTGTATCAAATAAATGCATTTCCTTATTTGACAAACCATCAGTGTCTACTATTTGTTACAAGAGTTGGGCCACTATCTTTTAAAATTGCTGGTGAAAACTTGCCACTAGATGGCAGTGCCTGTATAGATGGGGAAAAAAATCACCACCATTCTTGGTATAATACAGTGTGGCTTAGATGAGGTGGTGAAATAGGGGTATCAGCCTAATATTCCTAATATACTTTCTCTTGAATTAATAAACTGAAGATTTGTAGGAAAATGAGTGAGCAAAATTTGTTTCCTGTTGTGAATTTTTCCTACAGCACTCTTTTTAATCTTGATGTTTTCCAACTTTCTGTACTAATAGATACATTTCTGTGCATAAGATTATGAGGCATATACTCACAGTTCAGTAGTTTTTGTTAAGAATTTACTGTGTGAGTACTTCACTGTCAGGAATTGCAGAACCTTTTCCCCACTGCTCTCATCGTCTAAAAGTTCTGTGTGGCACACAGAGATGCGACCCACTCAGTCAGACTTAGATAGTGAAACCATACTGCAGAATTTTTGTTGTAAAAAGACCACATACCCAGCACCCTTGAAATAAAAGATTCATCTGTAACTGGGATTCAAACAGATTAAATTCCTTTGCTCATACTCTTAAATAGCACTAAAATGTTACAACATTTTCATTTACCTATTTTTAGTTCCTCCATTTTAACTTATTAAAAATCTTGGATTGATATTCTTAACCAATAAAAGTTTACTGGTAGTCCTATTTGGCATATTATTGAAACTTGGAAAGGATAATTTGAAACAAGGTTTGAAGTTCACTGAAATACAGAGATTGAATTTATACTCAATTCTTGTGAAAAGTCTTGCTTAATAAGTATGATTAAACTTTGCTTTTTGAAATTTGTCTTTTCCCTACACTTCTTTATAAGAATCCTATGATGAAGTACATAATCTTTATTATATTACATTAACCATCATTTTTCTTTTCAAATTGTTTTATTTTTAATTTTACTTTAAGTTCTGGGATACATGTGCTGATCATGCAGGTTTGTTACATAGGTATACATGTAACTATCATTTTAATATCTCACACGTAAATGCACATCTTTGTAGTTACCGATCAGATATATGTGAGGCAATGAAAGGCATTGAGCGGTTACAATAAAGGGCAGACATCAGTCCTCTGCCTGTATGTACCTGCTGTGCCTTTCTGCCTGCCCTCTTTCTTTGTTTTCAGTGTGCATGCCAGTCACTGCTGCTACTGGAGACAGGATGGAAGGATACATGTATGTGTCATTTATGGAGAAAACCAATTTATAGATGTATCTATTAGAGCTCTAAGGGATTCTCTTTCACTTCCTTGAGACTCCCAAGCAGAGGAATTAATAGAAGACTAGAAGGGTCTTGGTTTAAATTTTCAGGAAGATAGAGACTAACTTCTCGTTGGCCTTTATGAATTTTCAGTATATCTCTTCGCTGACTTTTCCCTGTTTGATTTCTGAGTTTGGATTAATACTTAAGTTTTTTAACTTCAACATTCTCACAATTTCTGCATAAAACTTTAAAGCCTAAAAAGAAAAAAAAAAATCTACCTAAAGGAGCACTGACATAGAACACAAAATATTTAGGTTCCAGGCCTGGTTCTGCCATCAGCTAGCGGTGTGTGAGTTTGGGCAAGTTTTTTTCATCTATCCAGGCCTGCTTTGCTCATTTGTGAGAGGGATGGCTTTGCAGATTGCTAAGGTTCCTTCAGGCTCTGACATCTGTCTAATGACTTGGGCAGTCTCTTCATGAAGATGAAGTGACAGTTCTTAAAGTGGGAAGCCAGACACAGGGTTTCTAGTTTGCCTGAGATTTCCATATAGGGATGGCTGCTACCCAAGTTACCTTTTGGAATGATATATTCTCTGCCAGGGAATTCTTTTCGGAAGAGAAAAGAAAATTAGAGTGCGTGGAAATTTTCCTAAGGACGTAACTGAAATACATTATCTAGTATATTTACCATGACAGATTCGCATATAAAAAACTGGCTGTTCCCACAGCTAAGCCATAATATTTATATTTGGTTTTGATTTGCAAGTTTTTAAAAGTGAATTCATGAAGCCTTAACCTTAGTGCAGAGTGTTCTAAAACTCAGCGAGAAATGATATCTTCAGTAGTTAATCTCCATTGATAGACAATGTTTGGATTGCAATTTAAATCTCAGACTTTTGATCACTACTATTTCTGTTGAGTATTCAGTGCAGCTTAGCTGCCAATATAATTTTTATTTAGATGATTATTGCCTATTTTATCGCCACATATATTTTATATGTGTATATTTTACATATATGGAAAATATACATAAGCCTTAAAATGAAAGATCAGATAAAATCTATTGTGAGATTTAGTGCACAAAATGCTTTTATTACTCTAAGCAAATAAATCACATTTCCCATTAGACGGCACCTCAGCTCCTCTATACATACAGCAGTTCACTGGATTGAATACACAATGAACAACTGAAAAAATGATCAATTTCCATCATTCTGATATTCGGGCAAAAAATTCAAACTTTGTTAGAATACAGGTGCTGGTAATCAAAAAGAAAATTTCTTGATATCTCCCACTAGCATTTTCAGATTTAGAACTTAACCATGAAATACACATTTAGAAATAATGACAGAAAATAACATTTTAAAATGATACTACAATTCTTCTGTAAACTTCAAAGTGATTTCTGTATGGGGAAGTTGCTGACCAGAAAATTAAATTAGAATTTTGTACATCCTCAGATATCCAAATAAAGTTAAAGGGCTACCTCCACACCACCCCCTTCAAGAACAAAAAACATATTTTCTCTCTTTTTACAGATATTGACACAGTATATTCTCACAATTTTTCTCAAGTGGGATATTAATGAGGGTAAGTAGCCAATAGTGGCAGGGCTAGATAGATCTCAGATTTCGAGTGCAACAAGGGTAAGCCCCATTAATCCATGCAAAGAACTTTCATGCATATAGTTTAGTGCATATAATATTATATAACCAGAAGTTCTTTAACATTTTGCTTTTCACTAGGCAAGTTAATTTACCCAGCATATTCTGAATAGTGACATAGCATTTTTTCACAAAGCCAGTGGTTGACTTTCATGTTAACAACGCTTCAAAAATACCAAACATTATGTTGAAAATCCCAGTGCTAATTAAACAATGAACATTTGCCTTTCTGGGTATTTTACAGGTTTACTTAAAAAACTGAGCATGTATTATGTTTATTTTTAAAGCTCAAATATTTAAACTTGCAGAAATTGTGCCTCCAAGCAGTTGACAGTATAAAGCAGGTTTTAATAAAATGTAGTAACAAATGAACACCTAATTGCAGATACATTGCATTTTCTTCAAAGCTAAGTTTCCGTAGCAGTGTAGCCCTCTCTTTTATAAATCAGCTGCAATGTCACTAAAGATTGGGGTATTCATCCTTTTACTGTCACTACTTGTAAGTGGATGTAACATTAGAATCCTAATAGACATTCTGGATAAGTTGTACAAGGCCATTCTTGGGGCCAAGCAACAGTAAATATTTGAAAGGTAATAAAGCCAAAATACCCAGAAATTGTAGTTTTGTTGAACAACAAATGGAACAAAACTTGTTAATATGAATGTGAAAATAGAAAAAAATATATATAAAATTCTTTCTGCTCATTCTTCCAAGCAAGACTTTTGAGTGAAGATACTGTTTTTTTTTTGTTTTTTTTTTTTTTTTTTGCAGTGAGATATGTTTTTAATAACTATTTACTTAACAAGAATCTATTTCCTAAGAAAAATCTCTGAATTCCTTTCCTTCATTGAATTTAGTCTGTCTACTCTGTTTCTTATGCAACTCATATTGCATCTGTGGATTTTGTTCTTTTGAAAAAATATATCTGTACAGCCTTCTTTGAGTTACCAAATGCCTGAAGGTAATACATCACCCCCCGGCCCCCATATTCTTCCCATTGCATAAGCATGAGGTGTATACAGCAATGCAAGAATAGGTGACTCCAGTCCAAGATAAGAAAATAGAATGGATTTTCTTGGTTGTGAGTTTTCAGATGTGCACAGTGGTAGCAACAGCAGACACCTCAGAGAATCCAGGGAGGGACACTAGAGGTTGAGCAGCAAGCTGCTAAGTGATTGAAAAGACTGGTTAGTAACACCTTTCTGTACTGGGCACAGGCCGCTATTTTAACCATGCAGCTTCTGTGGTTCATGCATTGCCTTATGATCTATAGTCCTTCTTGCTGTAGGGCTTGTTGCGCAATATGTTATCAATCTCATTTACCACATGTGATGTCATCTTTGGGAGAACCTGAGAGCAGGAGGAGAAGTACAAAGGATATTGTTAGCAGTGTTGATCATTCTTTTTTTGTGCTCTATATTTAGCAAATTAATCTAGAATCATGTATCTTCACAAATCACAGCTGAAATATAACGACGCCCCCATCACATTGTAACCTCCTTGAGGTCGGGGCCTTGTTGATTGCATAAATGAAGGCATAAAGGCATAAGTGAAGGCTCATAGAAATATAGAGCAGCTCTATCCAATGGAAATATAATGCAAGCCACATTTGTAATTTTTAATTTTCTATTGGATACCTTAAAAAGAACAGTAAAATAAATACACATTTTTACTCCATTATGTCCAAAACATTATTCCAACATGTAATCAATATAGAAAAGATACTTGACAGTTGTTTTTGGTACTAAGTCACATCTTGTGAACAGGTTACACTTAAAGCACATCTCTGTTTGGACTGGCCATCTTTCACGCACACAGTAGCCACATGTGGCTAGAACTATGGTACTGCACAGCACAGGTCTAGAGACTAAGAAGAGATTTATTCTGACTGGTGGTCTGAACCCTGGTGAAAGATGGCTGGGGTTTAACAGGCATCCCAGGTAGATGGAATAGCATGGAAAAACGAACTGGAGTGATAATGTACAGTGATTAGTTGTGGGGATGGTAAAACAGGATATGGATGGTAAGAACGGGATAAGAGTGTGGAAGGCCTTAAATGCCATTTTATGGAATCTCCACTTTAGGCAGTGGGGAACCTGTCAGGACGTCTGATCTAGGAGTAACCCCATCAGACACCTGGAGGTGGTTTGAAGGGTGAGTTGGAGGAGGTTGAAAGGGGACACAGATGTTAGATATGTATTACAATCCAAGCCGGGCAATAGGGCCTTAACTAGGGCAGTGGAGCAGAAAAGAAAAGTAGACCTGAGACACATTTTGGGTGATGATGGTGGTTTCAAGACTGAGTAACTAGAAGAATATTGGTGTTGATTATTGAGATTAGAAACCAAAGGGAAGTAGTTTGGGGAATAAGAAGTTGGGAGGGAGTAGGATGTGTTGAGTGTAAGGTGCCTGTGGAATATCCACCTAGGAGTGACTGAGCAGCTGCACGTGCAGCTGTGGAGCTTCGTAGTTGCCGGAGGGCTGGAGTTGAGGGTTTGTGAGTCATTTGCACCGACATGCTGATTGAAGCCCGGGGAAAGGATGAGCTCATTCAAGGCTAGCATTTATTGTGAGAAGTGGGCCAAGGGTACACATTACACCATAAGACAAGGGACAAAGGCAGACTTTCTCACTGGAAAAGTCTGACCTTGTGTGGAGACCATGGTGAAATACAATTCTGACGACCAGTTCTGAGGTTTCAACCTCATTCTCCCTTTGCTGCAATCCTGCTGGCCAAGGTGACCTTGTCTCCACTCAAGTGCTATCCTCAGAAGCCTTAGGGTTTGGCAAAATAGTAGAGCTGCCAGCCTGGGAAACTTCATTCTGGTTAATGTTTTACTGTGAAGCTGAAGAAAGAATTTGATTTCCCACTAGCTCTGGAATTTCAGTGTCCAAACAGCTAATGTGTTATTTAAAA